AGCTGAGCCCCTGCCCCAGCTTCCTGGACTGGACGGTGTGAGGAGCAGCAGCTGCCGGACAGGCTCAGTAAATTGGCTCTCTGTGAATCCAACAGAGAGAACACAGCCATCAGATAAGTGAGCAGTCGAGGTGCCAGCTGCGGACACGCCGTTATCAGAGCCCGGCGTGCTCAGGAAACGCGCCTGCTGACAAGGGCCCTCTGCAGACGAACGTGATGAAGATAACTGAGCTGTCTGTTACTCAGAGCTGGAGACGCGCTCTCGGTCAGACTAACTGTTATGTGTCCTAGTTTGCATCTGACCGCCAGGAACAAGGCGAAAGATGAGTGACTGCTGAGCTGTCTGTTGCTCAGAGCTGGAGACGTGCTCTCGGTCAGACTAACAGTTATGTGTCCTAGTTTGCATCTGACCACCAGGAACAAGGCGAAAGATGAGTGACTGGGCAGTGACATGAGGCTGGGCCCCCAGAGGCAGTCTGCGGCGCATCCTGTTTCACACACACAACTGTCGCCTCCTCACTACACATGAGTGTGTGGTGCTCAGGTTTCCATTTGTTTTAAGCAGTGAGACATGACAAAAGGAGCAGGAGGACTCTGAGTCATGGCTGCATGTTGTAGACCTGGTGAAACGAGCCGACCTGGTGCTGCTTGGTGCCTGCTCTGTGGTAAAAGGAGCCTTACATTAAAATTCAGTTTAAATGAATTTAGTTGAAGCTCACATGATCCATGTGGGGACATTTAACCCTCCAGCTGAACTGCTGCCCATGTTTGCACAGCTGGAGGGGTCTATGCGGCTCAGTGGGGATGTAAACATGTCACTGCTCAGGTCCATGAGGCTCCTGCAAGCACCGTCCAGAATTTGAGTGTGCAAGCTGACTGCATGTGTGAAAACACATGCCTGCACATGCACTCAGTGAAGTATCAACAGAAGTACATGCATGTGCACAGCCAGCTCTGTTCTTCAGATATTCAGCACATTAGAAACAGGGCGAGGTTCTTAGAAGTCCACAGCCACTGATTCTCTGCAACCAAGAGTCCGGAGATGCTTCAGCTAGGAGGAGGCCATGAGGCAGACCAGAACACACCGGAGGGACTGGGTGTCCCATCTGGCCTGGGAACGCCTCGGAATCCTCCAGGGGCAGCTGGAAGCTGGTCAGGAGATCCCGATGCCACCTCAGCAGAAAATGAATGGAGCCACCAACAGCACTGTGGTCACATGACTCTGGGAAAATAGCCCTGACCTGTGAGTCCAAGTGTGTAGCCTTCATACATGCTGGTTTTTTCCATGCGTCACCTCTTTGTCTCTTTGCTCTAGTCGTTGGCAGCGGGCTGTCAGTGTGCTGCAGTTGAGCAATCGTGGCTGTTTGTCCTCTGACTAGTACACCTGGTGTTTACAACATCTGGGGCAGCTCATCTAGTGAAGCACAGCGATGGAGCCTAACTGAAGTACTGCACTTGGTCTGAAGTACTTGGACAAGTACAACCATTTTAGGCAGATTAACACTTCTACTTCACTATACTTTAGAGGCAAATACTGCAGTACGTTTACCCCACACCAGTGAAAAACATGCATCTCCAGTGTTTGGTGAATTCTTTTGTCCTTTTTTGATCAACAGAAGGGTGAGTAAATAACCTTAAACATGCACGTTCCCCCCCCCCCCAAAAGTATATGTACTGTATATAATAAAGGTATAAGTGCCCCAAAAATAACTTCAAAAAGTGAGCTTTTAAATCCAGGACTTGTACTTGTAGTGGAGTATATTTACAATGTATTACTGTTATTTAACTAAAGCATTTGAGTGCTTCTTCCAACACTGGTTAAGTAACTTTGTCAGAAAGATGTGGGACCACACTATGACACGACTGTTAAAGAAAAACACAGCGGCGTCCTCTGACAGCCTGACTTCCTATTTCAGGCAGATCAGTGCAAACCACAGCTGAGAAAAGAATCTGCCCCACGTTCCCGGCAGTTGCACAAGGATTTAACATCAGTGTGCAAAGTTACAGGAGGGGGTGGGCGGCTTCCTGTACGTTTGTTAACTTTCTTGTCTGACCTGTGGTTTTAGGGCCCGAATTCTTTGTCCTAAACTGTCTGTAATCCAGGTTTTCACCACTGTTGGAACCTGAAGTCAAAGGCTGCAGCCTCCTGTGGATCAGTATGAGCGGAGGCCAACAGCAGCTACGTCACCGCATTCTCTGGAGGCCGGGAGTCAGAACATTTGGGTGGGGGGCATTTGGAAAGGCATCCTGTTGCACACGCTCAGTGGGGTTCATATCAGGAGCAGATTACCCTTCTTGCAAATGTTCCCAGTTTCCTGTGCACAGAAACAAACCTGAGGCTGGTCTGTTTGTCTTCAGCAGCTGCTCTGGGCTCTCACTCTGCAGAATAAAGCCCGGGGGCCTGATAAGCTTCAGCTGATAGTGATAAAGCTAGCACTGGCCTTCACTCGAGTTTCCCATGAGCCTTTCACGCAGGAGGGATGATGAGTAACTTTCTTCACCCTCCGGAACCAAGCAGGTGTCCTCAGTAATTCTCTCCATCTGGGCCTTGTTTCAAAATGCCAAGAAGATAAATTCCATTGCACTAAAAATGTCAGTGACGCCTGTTTGTGGTGTTTCAGTGTTTCCCACAGCCTGAGAACCGGCACCACCCCCTCTTTGCAGAGTCACGTGCACACCACATGACTGCAGCAGTGCCATTTACATAGAGTCCGATCTGGTTGTACGGCGCCTTTCACACAGGTCGGTGCAGTCTGCAGTGCACGACAGAGGACCGGCAAAACACTGAATACAGGGGGGCTTTAAGAATGAGACTGGTGCACTGAATTTAAATGGTTAAACAAAGACAAATGAAAAATAATCAGTAAAATAGTTTAAAAATAAAACCTATAAGGAGGAATGTTAGTAGATCAAATGAATAAATAAATAGTGGCCGTAAAATAATGTGATGTGCAGATGCGATGAAAAAGTTTAGATTTAAAGACTTGAGCTGCTTCACCAGAGGGTTTCGTCCTGCACTTCGTGTGTCGCTCAGGTTATCTGTGAAGCACATCTTTAAACAGGAAGACAGTGCGTCTTATGGGAGCCGCTCACATCCAGTGTTTCCTTGGCTCATATTTCTGTGGTCCTGTCTGTTCCACACACAGCGGGCCAGAGGAGACGTCTGCTGTCTTCACGGCGTCCTCTCTGACGGGCCTGATGTGTCTAACGCTGCGTGCATGTTGTGTCTGTTGCAGGACTGGGTGACGGCCACCGACATCAGTGTGGCCTTGAACAGGCTCAACACGTTTGGAGACGAGGTGTTCAACGACCCCAAGGTCCTCAAGTCCTACTACTACGCCATCTCCGACTTCGCTGTGGGAGGAAGGTAAAGGTCTTAGAACAGACTAAATGTATGCAAACTGGAGTTGGTAGCTCTGGGACGGCCCAGACAAGCACATGTGTATGTGGATCCACTGTGCAGCTCCGTGATGCTTGCTGTGCCACAGAGTAGAAACCAAACCCGTCTGCAGCCTGAGGCTCAGGGAACCTGCTCAAAGGAAGTGTTACTGAATGAGTGAGGGTGGTCTGGTAATTTTGTGGGTCGTGGTCTTGGTGTGTGGCTGTATGCTCACTTTCCCTGTGGCCTGCACAGGAATCCATTCGACAACTCCTTTTCCTGAGCGTCTGCAATAAAAGGTTTCGACAGGCATTACAAGTGTTCATCAGGCTGCTGCTGCACAGCCTGTGTGTCCATAATCTGTGTGAAATGTGGAGC